AGAAGAAGAAAAAAGCGAACTACACTGTTCAGTTCATTGGGCATGGGTTAAACTTTTTGCCAGCTTGAGCTTTCATCTCTGGATTCAGTTGAAACTATTTGCCTGCAACTTGTGCAGTTGACTGGAAAATTATGTCGATTAGCTGCATTAGGGGATGCATGGCAGGGCTGCCACGCCCACTCACTGATAAGTCACGCCCAGCGTAAACTCTGAGCATAATTGGAATGTGCAGCTGTAGTTGTGGGCGTGGCCCGGCCTGGCCCGTCCTGGCCGTCCTGGCTTGGCTTCACTGCTTGTAATTTGACAAAATTTGCCAAAAAGCAAAAGCATTTAGTATTTAACACTCCACAACATTCAGTTGTCAACACAATGGCAGGGCTGCCCGGCCTGAGCATGTGTGGCGGGCTGAGCGCAAAGTGCGAAGAGTTTTACGTATTGCAATTTGTGCAAAATGCAAATTTCCTCACTGATGACAGCGGCAATTTTGTGCGCCATTGTTGTCGCCGACTGTGTGTTGTTGTTGTCATTGTTGTTGCCCTCGTTGTTGCTGTTGTTTGTATACATCCATTGTTTGGTCATACAAGCAGACAGTGCTGTGCAGTTGAGTGTGGCCGTGCAGTGAAAGGCTCGAGCATAAACAGTGTTTGCCATGCAAGGAGTTTGGCATAGAGCGACACCGTAAACAACTGTCTATGGGGAACTGTTTCTATGCATATGCCCGGCGGTGTGACAGAAAGTCTGCCACGCAGCAATAAACACAGCCAGAGCTGCAAGCAGCTTGGCAGCAGACAAGCCACATGGAATTTTCCACGATGCCAACTCTCTCTCTCTCTCTCGCTCTCTCTCTGTCTCTGTCTCTGTTTTTCAAGCTCTCTTACTCTTCTTTTCACTCTATCTCGCTTTCGCTTTGATTAACAATGATGTGCATTATTTTTGCAAATAAACTTGGCCAAGCCACATGAGCTAGGAAAGGCGGAGAACAACTTTCGCCTGTTGTTGTTGTTGTTGCTTCTATTGGTGTTGTTGTTGTTTGCCATTTTGTATGCTGGGCAATTTGGCTCAAGTTGCATTTATTGATTTATTACAATGACAGCTTACAGCTTCAATCATTGTCAGCAGCAAGAATTTCCGAAAACCTTCACATACACACACACACACACATGCACATACTAAGCGCATACCTCATGGTTGTCATAATTGCGCATTTGGGTGCAAGGTCTTGGCGACGACTACTCGCTCACTCACACTCACATCCACACCCACACTCACTCTGGCACTCGCATTCTGATTCACATTCACATTCCCCACAGTCCCACACACACACACACACACACGAAGGCAAATGGCAAACGGAAGCTTTTAAGCAAACAGGATATGCTGTGAGCAGCTTTGGCTGGGGAAGGGTTGGGCTGGGGCGTGGCTGGGGCTTGGGCTGTGTTAGGTGGGAGGCCAAACAGGATCTAGATGGAACAATAGTACGAGCAGTTGCAAGTCCGGCTKGGAGGCGGCTTTGCCAGCCGAAATGAAAACAAAACATTTGTTATGCAAAGCCTTTGATGTTGTCCTTGGGCGCACTGARTGCAGGATGCAGCCAACAACTTGTCAATGACAAAATCAGTTTCCCATTAAACGGGCGCAAGAAAAACATTTTCCCTTAGCCATACTTTCGAATGTTGTTAAAGTTATTCGCTTTGAGCCGCTGCCAAATGGGTCAACGACGATTGTGCAGCTGTAACTTTGTTGTCCACACAAAAACTTTGGCGGCTTAGTTCCAAGAAATGAACACAGACGTACGCCTACACGTACATACTCGCACACACATACACCAATACAGAGTGAGAAAATAATTAAGGTCCTTCAAGCTTATTGACTTTTTCCCGGGCGTTGCTGAAAAGTTTTGTGTGCTCAAAAATTCAGTGCGCCGGGCAGATAATAATTAGGCGCAAAAGGGAAAGGACAAAGGCCAGGAAGTGACCAACGCCGAAAAAAGGGACGCTCGATAAATAAATATGCCAGGCAGCGAGGCTGGGCGAGTCCTTTAATGCCCACAACATTCGGACAGAAGCCGGTGCAGGTGCACTTAGCAGGCAATTGCGGGATAATTTAATTAGGTGCCGCTGGCAGGCACAAGGATAACAGGATAATGATAACAAAATAAGCAATCCAGCTAGCCCCAGCCCTCACGCCGGAATGCCAACGATAAAAAGGCGCCATAGAACAGAGATAAAATGTGCGGTAAATTAAATGAAAAATGGCGTCGACGCTGCCCGGGCTATTATAAAGCGTGTAACTGGCCGATAACAGCGATATCGGCAGGCTTATATAAATTGCAGCAGCCCGACTTAATTGAGTGGCCCCTCCAGCTAACAGAAGCCCATTCACCATTTGCCTGAGCACCTGTGTGTGTGTGTGTGTGTGTGTGTGCGGGTGTCGGTGTCTGTGTGAAATGGCGAACGGAAGTGCAAAAGTTGTCGCCGGATGTGGAGAGCACAGGTAACAGCTGGCCCAGTGGCGATACCTAAAGCAGCTCGAATCGAACATAATTAGCTCGCAAATTATTCAAGCAGCAATTAAATCGACCCAAAAAGGATAACGGATAATGGATAATTCAGGTTTTCGGCTACTAATTAATCGCAGCTGCCAACGCAATCGAAAATTCAACAAATTGTCAATATAAATTTAATTATGAACTTAAATCGATATAAACGTAGACCATGAAATAAACCATATTGTTTACAGGCAGAAGATAGCCTGTGTAGCAGAGTATGATATGAAGAAGTATGGAGTAATATAGAGAGTGAATGTCATTATAGATAATGAAATGTATACACTATAGGAGACCCTATATCATTTTGAATATTTTAATATAGAAGAATATATTATGGTAGAGTATAAGTTATATATAAGTTAAAGCACATTCACATTTACTGGTAAGTATTGAAGAATTCTTATGCGAAGATACCCTGTAAACTGTTTGCTAAAGATAAATACTACAGTTTATACTATGGAATAGTATGATCTATTAGAGTAATAGTGCGGGTAGAGTTGTTGTATATAGTATTATAGGGTATATAATAGCCTCACTAATGTTTAGCCTCCTCTCGCTAATTGAACTCTATACGCATGCAACTTCATTTAAAGCCAGCCCTGCTTCACGCTCACCCTGTAGCTACAGCGCTTACAAATGGGGGCTGTTATAGTTAAAGACTTTCAGGCGCCGCAACCTTCTCTCGATGCGCTTCGCCCCCCCACGCCCCGTACAACCTGAGCTGCAGTCAATGGGCGACTGGGAACTTGCAACTTGGCTTGCAGCGGCGCTGCGTTGCGGGTAAGCATGCATGTCAAGCACATAGCCATACTGCAAAGTTTGTTGTCCCAGTTGCAGCTGCACTTGTAAGTTGCATTGCTCGCCCGTCAGCTGCACGTGTGTGCGTGTGTGCGACGGTGTGCGGGTGTGTGGGTGTGTGGGTGTGTGCATGGGGAGTTGGGGGGATGGTCGCATGTCGCCCCAAGCAGCGCCTTGGTGGCCTCGTTTCATTTTCTTATGCAATAATTAAGTGAGTGCCAAGCAGAGTCAAGCGTGAAGCGCAACGCGTTCTCATTTGCTATCAAATTCATGCGTAACGTAATTGTGAAGGGACGAACAAGCCTGCAATTGTGTGTGTGTGTGAAAATAATTTTGGCCAAAGCCTGTGTAAACTTCGCACGCATGAGAAATCAAAAGCAGCTGCTACGCCAGTCTACCCTTAAGTGCCACAAGTGGCTGGGAAAATAGCGCAAGAAAATGTAAAAAAGGGAACAAATTACAACAAATGTGCAACACGAGCAGAGCCTGCAGCTCACTTTGTTTGCCTACATCTTGTCGAAGCTGCGGGCCTCTTCAGTCAATCAAGAACAGCTGAAGAACTTGAACTACATATACATATGATTCGCTATACGCATATTGCCAAGAAAACTAAATTTGATAGGATGAATGAGAAATGATAACAACATRTTATATATAAATATGATATATGTAGTATATAGGCAAGGTATCCTAAGAGTTTGTCAGTTCCAGCGAGATGGCGAGATCCTTGGCTAATCTGAAATTTAATATTCATTTAACATTTCTGAATTTTAAATTGAAAACTTCTTCTACAAATACTTCGAATGTATTCATGAAAACTCACACAAACTTTGACAAAATCCACTGCTAACGACTCTAAATTCCATGTTGTATATGGAGGGAACTTTTGTTATTTCTATTAAATTATTTTCATTTCCCACGCACAATCAAATTTCTAAACAAGTTCCTAAAGTAAACCAACTTCGACTCGAGGCGTAAGTCAATAAAACTTATCTACAATAACGGAATTCAGCGACTGTGTAGCCATGTGAACAGCTTTAAGTTGRAGCCGGGCTAACTATACGCTTAAATACACATGCGAGTACRGATGGCTCGTGGCGCTCGTAGTTTTCATAACAAGGACACGTAAACAGCCACAACACGCATTCACTTAGATGGCCATCAAAATGCGAGCACTTGAAATCAAATTTAAACATCTATACTTGAGTGTGTGTGTGTGTGGTTGAGGGTGAGTAAATTCTTGCACGACAGACAGTTGCCAGTGCCAAGTGTGAGCATGTGCACGTGTGTGTGTGCTGGCGTGGGTGTGGGTCTGGGTGGGTCTGTTTTTAGTTTTTGCTGCTGCGACACGTAGTTCCGCTCATAAGCCAAAGGC